GATTTGGCCACAAACTTGCTTGTGACTTTGGACACATCACTTAAGTTCTCAGAGCCTTCTTTCCTATTTGAGAATTCTGATAAAGTCATCTCTAAGGTCCTTTTACTTTGAACAATCTATGACAAACAACAATTTTCAATTCATAATTGAATTACAATTATGATGCGTGCTAGTGCTCCAGAAGTTTAACTTTTTCAAGCCAGTGAATAGGAAAGAGTTGAAATAGGGAGTTGGGCAAATTCATAGGCAAAGCCATGGCTGGAGAAAATACGAATCATATATGGAAAGACTGCACTGGAAGTAGGCCAGCAGAGTGTGAGGAGTGTCCTTGAACTTGGCTATCAGCTAGGGCCGTCCGGGGCTTGCCGAGCCTGAGCTGGAGTGTGGATGAGGATCTAAAACCAAGCTCCAGCGGATTAATGCCCGGGCCCAGTGATGGCAGAGGGGAGGCCAAGAAAGGCCCACCGGGACAGGAAGTGCTCACCATCACGATGTTGGCCAGATGAGCAGAGACGAGAGCATATACCCCTCCAGACGAGCCCACGACTGGCGCGGTCATGTCAGCCACAGACACCGCCAAGGACCCTGGTGCAGAGAGAGATGGAGAACTCAGGGATGCTGGAGTCAGCTCCCCACCCCAAGTCAGGCCCTCAGATGCTGCAGCCTCAGGGCTGAGACCCAGAGCAAAGGCTCCCTCTCTTCTCCCTTGATTCCCTGTCACCTTGGAGCCTCCTGGAAGATTCATTTACGGCTGAAAGAACCGTTTGGTGCAAACTTCTCCTTCTACAGACGAGAAGCAAAGGAGGGAAGGGACTTGCCCAAAGTGGAGCTGGGACTGCAGCCCAGCTCACCTGCCTGGCCGCCCAGCTCTGCCTTGCCTTGGGCTCTCTCAGAGTTTCGAGCAGCAGCAACAACAGTAGTAGTAGTTACAGCAGAAACAGCCACTGCTTGCGGGGCACTGTGCGCCAGACATTGGTCTTACGTCCATCCTTCCCTTTGACCCTCAAGACCGCCCTCTGAGGCCAGCACTAGCAGTCTCACTGCACAGATGAGAAGGCTGAGCCCCGAGTCATGGGGAGGAAGGGCTGGAGCCAGGATGTGAGTCCAGGTCTGCCTGACACGGAGCCCCTGTGCTCTTAGGCTCTGTAGCAGCCACGCCCCAAGCTGGGACCGAGGTCAACCTCCTCTGCTCAACAGCATCCAGAAACCTGCTGAGCACCATGTCCAACAGAGTGAAATTACAAGAGGCCAATGGGATCTCCACAGCTGGAGGGAAAATGTCCTTGAAAAGTCCCAGGGAAGAGAAAAAGATGATGTCACCCTCTCTGGGGGAAAGGAAGGGTACAGACTGTTGATCGGGGGATGACAAACTTTTGTCCTGGGAGGGAAGCCGGGCAAAGAGGAGATGGGAAATGTATTGTTCTGGTCTCATTTAAGTGTGATCAATGCTTTGGCTTCCAGGGAAAGACATGGGAGACTAAAAATAACTGGGAGATAGAACCCAGGGCTCAGAGGATGAGAGGTGGCTGGCCTGGGTGAGTGTGCAGAAATCACCACTGGAAAATGCCCGCAGGCTCATGAGCCAATTAGCCGCTGCCTGGGTGGAGAGAGGAACAGGCAGAAGGCCAGATGCTGCAGGTTCTGTAGGGCCGGAGGATCCACTACTTAGCAAGAAGCTGAGCCCAGCCTGGGAACCAGGTACCCGACACCCTGGGCCTGGGGAACCCCTGCAAGGTCATCTACTTTCTCCCCACCTTGCCACCCCCCCTCCCCAAGCCCCCACAGACAGCTCTCAAGGCTCCTCAACTCATGGAGCTCCTTCCAGGAAGAGGTCCTCACAACAGATTCTTAGCTTCAAGGCGGGGGATGTCATCTCTCAGGAAAATACAAACTGTCATGAACTAAGAAATCCCAAGTCTTTCTCCCCTCCCAGGGCAGCTATAAATCTTTCTTCTCCCCTTTCATGCCTTGCCTCTGGCTTTAATTAGGTATTGATCTATTGTCAGATAACTTTTTTTTTAACTGACTAGCCACCGGGTCAGCCATATATAACAGGGAAAAAAAATCCCAGGGTGGCAAACAGGCAGGCCACGGGATCTGCATGACAAAGGATTCCCACGCTCTCCTGGCGGGGCTGGCTGAGAAGGCTGCACTGCGGGGCTGCAGAGGGCTGGCTGCCCAGCCTCTCCTCGTTAATTAATGTCTGGACAGAGGAAGCCCCAGCCTCCCTGGGCTGGCCTCTCTCCTCCATGTGAGTCCCTACAAACCGGCCAGGATTCTGCTCCCTCAGCCTCCCTGGCATCAGGGAAGCCCCCAGGGTCCAGCCTCCACACACTGACCTTTCCATCACCCTACCCATGGATGGGAGTCCTGACCCTAGGGCCAGAGGTCAGCAGGGATCATGGCAGGAGTACGGAACGAGGGCGTGACTGGCTAGCAGTGTGATCTCGGGTACAGCTCCTGAATTCTTTGGGCTTCAGTTTTCACATTTGTGAAATGACGAGGTCTAAGGCTTTCTGAATTTTGAGCAGTGAGACCCTCTTTTCAAAGGAAACCTGACCCCCAATCCTTACCCCACGGAGCAGAGCACAGAGAGTCATTCTGGCTGAATGGGAGGGGGGCCTGGGAATAAAGTTTGCCACCCACTGGAGGGGACCTCAAGGTTCCTTCCAGATCAGAATACAATAATCCAAGCCTTGGCCTAAGATCCAGGGCCTGAGGTTCGGATCCTGGTTCCAGAATCTGGAAGGTAACCATCGGGACCCACCTGCCCTCCATTTGCGACAGGAAGACCTTCCTAAAGTGACTGCAGGTTAGCCCTGGCCTAGAGGGACTGGGAGAGTCAAGTGTAAATGTGGGCATATACACGTATCAACAGAGTGAGACAGGCCACCCCAGGGCAGGAAGCTTGGGCCAGGCGTGACTCCTGATGCATCTAATGGATGACGTTCGGCAAAGGCCAGTGTGACCCACAGAGCTGGTCGGGGCAAAGGAAGAGGAGAGAAAGGCAAGCCAGTGTGGCGCGCCACACCTCTGCACAGCAGCAGATCAAAGGACCGGTGCTGGTCCGGGCTGTGAATCACCCCACCAAAACCCTGGATCCGCGCCAGGACGGGGCTAGATTGGTGACTTTGCCGTAATGCCCATAATGTCCAGCCTGGGATATTAAAAGCAGGTGTTCTTCAGCATCTCCCTTGGCCATTAAAAAAAAAAAATCCAAATAAACGTCAGCAGAACATCTACCTTTAAGCAATGTAACTTTACTTATGTATGTTTTCTTTCATTTAGTCTGCAACTGTTTGTTGCTTAACATGTGCCAAACCCTGAGCCAGGCTTGGGGATGCACTCGTAGCTTATAAGCTATGTAGCTTAGGATAAAAGCCTGGCAGAGCAGTGAAGATACTGGTTTTTAAGGTATTTCAGCTGTCAGCCCTGTAACTGTTAGCCGGAAGTGAGATACATACATATTGGCTTCAAGCACGGGGCGGAGGAAGGGTTTCCACTGCAGTCCTAGGATTTCTTGGCTGGGCAGCTGGTGATTTGACCCCTGAACCATCTATAAAATGAGGGTGTTGGCACCCTGATAAGACTGTTGTGATGAGAAGAGGAGATCGCACACGTGACCCCTTTACCACATGCCTGGACTACCGGACGTGCTCGGCAGAGGTCAGTTATTGTTGTGACAAAACGCGACGGCCTTGGATTTGGAATATTTTCACCCTGGGATGCGGGGAGATTTGCCTCTCTCATTCCTGTCTATTAAGACCTCCTGTGCCCGATGTCTATTAAGACCTCCCTTAGGTTTCTGACACCTATCCACACCAAGGATAAGGTCTGCCTTTTGGTTCTTGTAATACCGTGGCGGTGGTTTAGAGCACAGCCTTTGGGGTCAGACAGTCTGGGATTAAGCCCAGCTCCACCCCTTATGATTGTGTCTTCTGGAATAAGTCACTTAGCTTCTCTAAAGCCTTGGTTCCTGTATCTGCAACAGGTGGAGAGGAAGAGTACCTGCCTCAGGGGGTTGTTGTGAGGATTAAATTTGGCCCACACAGGGCAGGCACTTGGTAACTACTGGCTCTCGGTCAGGGTCTGGCTATCTGAATGGGCCCCCCTTTTGAGGGGGGACGCACATGGAGCGGAGAAGGAGGAAAGGATGCAGGCAGATCAATCAACTCAATCCTGGAGATCAATGGTATGACATGTGGTGACCAGAATGCCCTCTGCTCTGAAGGCAGAGTGACTCAGGTAGAGCGGTGCACATCATTTGCTTTGCAATGCAGCCCCACATCCTCAGGCTTAGATGGCGAGCCCCCTCTGCCTGTACGCCATCCCCTTCTGCGCTGATATCACTGGGAAGGGATGCCTGCACTGGGTATCAGGTCTCCCCCCTGGGTATCATCTAGTTCAAGGCCTGAGTCATCTTGAATCTTACGTTTCTCTTCGAGGCTACTGGCACTCCCATCTAATTGACTACTAACTGCAAGTGTTACGAGCATCTTTCCTGTTCCTCGCCATTAACCATCTGGGGCTCTGAGTATGTAGGTGCGGAAAATGTGGCTATAAACCCCCAGATGCAGACACTCAGAGTGTGTGTGGGTGGCTGAGTAAGTCTGGCACACAGAGATGCGCATCAGACCATTGTTCAAGGATGCAGAAGGTGCTGGATTCTGGGAGAAGCTGGCGTGGGTGCTGTCCAAGATGTGCAAGGTCTAAGTTTTTAACCTCCGCACAGAAGGAGAGAAGGAAAGGGCACTGGGCCAACCTCCCAGGCTGAGGGTTCACAAATTAGCAGACCAGCCTCTCATGGGGTGGGGTGGGGGGGTGGGGGGTGGGACCCTTCCCTCTTTGATTCCTGAAGCCACTTCACTGACGCCCAGAGTCCCTGTCTGCCCACTGTTTACAAGGCCGATGCTACCCTGCTCTCCTGATGACAACTTTAATGCCACTCAGAAAGGATTAAGATCTTACTTAAACATACACACAAAGCTCCCTTGGGCACAGCTGTCAAGGTAAAGAGCTGAGGCGGCAAGCCTTGTTAAAAAAAAAAGCCAGCAAAAAAGTTGGAAACATCACGAGGGAGATCCCTCTGTGGAGAAGCCCAGTTGGTGCAGACTTTTCCTGCAGAGCTCTGCTCCCCCAGCTCATCGCAGCCCGCCTCCCCTCCCTGGGGGGCGGGGGCTGGGGGCCGGCCGCGCTCCTCAAGGCCACAGCGACTGCTGTGATCACGCGCCACGTGAGCTGGGTCAGCCAGGACCCCAGACTTGTCCAGCTGGCCTGGGTGCTCACTGCCTCCTGCCAGGCAGCGGGTTCCTCAAGGGCCAGCCTGGGCAGATGCTAGGTCCCCCTTCAGGGACAGTTGCCAGCCTGGCCAGGGGAGGTACCTGGCTCCACCTACCCCTTGGATGTCCTCACAGGGATCTCACTGCCCTAGGATGGCTTAATTCACTCTTTACCTCACCCCACCCTCCCACAGTCGACATGCAGGTCTCATTACTTTCCTCCTAAAGCTTAACGGGGCCAACAGAAGTTAAGGCATTTCCCCAAGCTCACACAGCGACAACGCAGAAGTGTAAAGACTGAAACTCCAGTCTGTCTGTTCCAAACCCTGTGCTCTGTCCTCCTTTGCTGCTACACGCCTCCCTCTCTGTGTGGCGGTCCCCTTTCCAGCCCCCCCTGGGAGGCGGGGAGATGTGCATAGAGGTCAACTCTAGTCATCAGAAGCCTGGGTGATGAGGGTCCTCTGGCAGCCTGGGGCTTGCTCAACCCCATGGGCTTTCCCACCTGCCCTGGGGAAGTTTACCCCTGTGGACACGGGGCCCAGCTGCCTACCTGCCACAACGCCGGCCACGTACACAAGCCCGATGCGGGTTGCTCCGTGCACCATTTCCAGGGGCACCCCCACCAGGAGCTGCAGTACCACGTTGAGTCCCAGATGTTCTATCCTGTATGGAGAGACCACATGCATGCATGCATGCATGCATTCATTCAGCACGCCAAGACGCTGCAGACCTAGTAGTGAAGAAGACCTTACACCTGCCTTTGAGAAGCTCACAGTCTGGGTGGCGGTGGAAAAGGGAGGGGAGGAATTACAATGCAGACAGATCATCTTGGAAAGAGGGTTCCTTCCACACCCTCCCTGCCAGTCGGGACAGGAACACAGGTATGGGGCCAGGGTGGTGACTGGCAGTGTCTGCACTTGCCAGAGTGAGGGGGCCAACCATGGGCAAGATCCAGCAACTCCATCAGTTGACACAAGAGAAGCTAAGGCTCAGAGAGGGGCACTGACCAGTGTAAAGTCACACAGCTGGGTAGTGGCTGGGCTGGGGCCATGGCCCAGGTCTCTGATGTGCAGGACCTGCTCCATTATCCAGGCCACTCGGTCACTCTGGCTTGCTACTATATTTGTAAGAGCTACTGATATTTAAAGAGAAAGATGTTTTCCAAACAAGTGCAGGCATGAAAGATACCTCGTACAACTTAGTAAATCAAAGTTGTCCCCCAGTTCCTGCTGCATCCAGAGGAGAAAATGAAAGCATGAAGTGGCCCCCCACCTCCACTCCTAAGCCCCGTGAGGTAAAGGCCAGGACACAGAAGGCAAGGCAAACACCCCGGGCCCCACCATCCCCTTAGGCTCAGAGTGGAGACATCCATCGGCAACCATCGCGATGTCTCCTCACCCAAAGCCCCCTCCCCAGCAGGTGCAGCCAATTGGGGGTGGCTCTTGTGCCCGCTTTAGAGGCTCAGTGGGAAGGGAGTCTCACAGTGGAGCTTCTTCTTGGCCACTATAGGTCTTTCTGCCAAGGAAAGGGAGTGATGGAGCCATGGGGGCCAGGGTGACCCTCTGCCCATTTGCAACCCCAGGAACAGGCACCCCCAGGGCTTTTCCCAGGCTGACAGTGAGCTCCTTCACTTCTCTAGAGACTCGGTAGAAAACAATGGAGAGCTCTCGTGTCTGAGGACTCTGATATCCGAACTCCAGGCTTCTGCTACATAAAAACAGTCTCCAGCCAAGACCATGCTCTTCAAGGGACTTGGAGCTGGGTGGGCACCTGGCCAGCCAGGAGGTCCTTATCGTGGGGTAAAAGGCACCAGTGAGAACTGACTGCACTCTAGGCCCCAAAAGAGGCCACGTGGCTCCATAAACAGAAGCAATAAGCATTGCCAGAGTGCCTCAAGAAGACTAACGTCACCATATATGGAGATCTCCTTGCGAGGGAGGTGGTTTCAATAATTATGGGGGCAGTCACACACACAGTTTATGGACAATGAATCTGGTGGCTGACCACATTTCCCTCTTTGCTTTGGCCACTAGGAAGCTCAGAATAAATCTGTAACCCACTTTTAGCAAGTATACAGAATTACATGTGTATGTGTGAGCTGATTTCACTGCTGGCTTTTAGCATCCTCCTCCTCCTTCTGTTTCCCTTTGCCCATACCCTCTTCGTAATTTACTCATATGTTTTGGTATTAGATGAGTTTCAAGGAGCTGCTCAAATCCTGTGTCCGGGTAGAGTAAAAATAAACTAAAAAATGTATTTCAATCCAGGCTAGCTGGACCACTTATTTTCCCATAGGGACTCCTGACAGAGTGAAAGAAGACAGGCACTCACCCTGCATGCATGAAGATGTACGTCAGGTAACGCCAAGCCTGTGCTCGGAGCTGTGGATGGTAAACCAGTGAGTTCTTCAGGTATCGTGGGTGGGTGACCTGCAGCACAAATTGGTCCAGCGACACCCCATTATAGAGGAAAAAGGCAACCTGGATGAAAACGCAGGAGGAAGAGAGCCCATTACTAGGTGCAGAACCGCCCACGGATGCCTCTTACGCTAACACCTGGAATCCCGACAGAAGCTGTCGCCTTTCCTTCGCGGAGAATGAGGGACACTCCCATGACCAGCACCCAAGCGAGTGTTCCACCATCTCTCACCCCACTTCTGTTTGATTATTTAGTGTTAAAATTTCACAAAATGGTCTCATGGTCTCTCTCCACATTACCTTGGTGCTAAGCAGGAAGAATTTGCAGGATTTTAAACTTTAATTTCAGTAATAACTCACATACCCACTTGAGGGGTGAAGCCATTGCACCTAGGTTGATTTAAAAAAAAAAACCTGTAGTAAAATACACAAAAAATTTACCATCTTAACCATTTCTAAGTGCCCAGTTCAGAGGTAGTAAATACATTCATAATGTGTAACCATCACCACCATCCATTCGGACAACTTTTTTTAATCTTGTAAAACTGAAAGAAACTCTATACTTGTTAAACATTAATTCCAACTCCCCCCCACCTCCCAGCCCCCTGCAACCACCATTCTACTTTGTGTCTCTATGAATTTGACTCCTCTAGGAACTGCATGTAAGTGGGATCATACAGTACTTGTCTTTTGTGATTGGTTTATTTCACTTAGCATAATGTCATCAAGGTACATCCCTGTAACATGTCGGGATTTCCTTCCTTTTGAAGGCTGACTAATATTCCATTGTACGTATCTGCCTCTTTTTGTTTATCCATCTGTCGATGGACACTGGGGTTGCTTCCACCTTTTAGCTATTGTGAATAATGCTGCAATGAATATGGGTGTACAACTATCTCTTCGAACCCTTCTCTGCTTTCAATTCTTTGGGCTATATGCCCAGAAGTGGAATTGTGGGATCATGTGGTCATTCTAGGTTTAATATCTTGAGGACCTGCCACGCTGTTTCTCACAGTGCTGAACCATTTTACATTCCCGCCAACAGCGCCCAAGGACTCCCACTTCCCTGCATTCTCACCAACACTCCGCATAAGCTGATTTTGAAGATGACTGAGCATATTTGTTTAAGCCCTAAAAAGGGTGTTTATTTTAACTACATTTTTTTTCCTGGAACTCGTTCTAGAATGCATAATTCATGTCCCTTTGTTCTAATCTTAAGGATGCCTCAGGTGTTGGTCTAGGCTAGAGGAGTGATGTCTTCTCCAGCAACTGATGGTGTTTTCGCTCCTATACTAAATGACCCCAAATTCTTGTGTTTCTTTATGAGTCAGGTGTGCTCTGACATTTTCTTTTGTCCTCTCCTGCACTGCCAGGTTGTCAGCATGTTGTTAACCAGGTATCACAACCAGGTTCTTACTTCCGACTGCTGGTGGGGGCCCCTTCTTGTCGCTTCCCACCACATTCCTTCTATTTTCACTCCATTATGGAATCAGAAAACCAGGTGACTAGACCTGTATGTAAAATAAAAGCCTTGAGCTTTCGTATGAGGTCTCTGAAACAGTTATTTCATCATTTGTCAGTTTTAGATTGGTGGTTTGGGTTTACATAGCTGAGGTTTTTGAAAATTCATAACCAATCTGGACGCAAGATCTGGTTCCTCTGGATGACCTTGGACAAATTATTTTCATTCACTGGTCTTCAGCTTCTCCATCTAGAAACGAGGATATGAATGCCCACACTTCCACAGTGATCGTGAGGTTTGAAAATGATAAAGTGCACAGGAGAAGCCAGCCCTGTGTGCGGCATGCACTCAGGGAAGGCAGCTGGAATCAGGGTAGGGCTCAGACCTCCTGGGCTGGGCCTGGGAACGGCAGCTGGACTCCCTGGGGTCTCTGGGAGCTGTTCTGTCCACCTAACACCATGCATGCGGGTGGCCTGGCAGCAAATCCAGCTTCCAAGCCAGCTTGTTATTATTGGCCCTCAAATAGAAGTTAATAAATAGACCAACACAGTAAGTGCTTGGAGAACAAGTCCAAGAACATCTCAGCAAAATCACAAGTCCAACAGGTACTTGGGTGAAGCCGTAACAACACAGAGAGGCTCTAGCCTGCAGATTAGATATTCTGATTTAGAAAAAAAGAAGAAGGATGCTATGAAGCTTAACGATCCTGCCGTTTGATTCGGCAGGAATGTTATAAGAACATAAGCAGGGGTGGTAATTAGGCCCCTGGCTCTGGAAGAGAAACGGTGATTATCAACGCCAAAGGGAGGCCAAGCGTCCGTTCAAGAGCTGGGGCTGGGGGGAGGTGGGCGGCACACAGGTTCTTGGGCTGAAGAGCAGGAAGAATTCTGAGTCCCTCGCACATGGGCACTGATTCAGAAAGTGGCACTTTGGATTCTGTTGCATAAGCTTAGACTTTTAGAATAACAATAGGCATGGAGGATTCCCTAAGGGGAGAATGTTCTTGCAAAATACGTTAAGCCCACATTTGCCTGTTGGTAAACACTCCCTCCCGTATGTATTTGTGTAACGCTTTTGTGTTCAGAAAGCACCACCAGCCGTTCTGGTGGTCTAAACTGAGGAGTCCTGTGGGAGAAGGAGGGCAGGTCTGCTTATTCCTACTTTACAGGTGGAAGAGGGGAGTTCCGCGGAGCAAATGACTTGTCCACGTTACTCACTCAGGGAGGAACTAAAATAGATTGTTTTAATGAGTTAGCCTGGCTAAATCCCCCAAATCAGTGAACTTATGACACTGTTTTTCTTGCCGTTGTTTCTGGCGGGGGTGGTCACATGGGGATTCGGTTGCAGCGAATATGGCTTGAAGCTATCATCTTTGCCATCTCTCTGTGGTCCAGGGGTTTTAACAACACTTGCACGCACCGTAACAGGGCCTGACTTGCAGTGACAACTGCCGTTTGGTCCTCAATCATCGCCTTTCGGTGGAGAAGACGCTGCCTGTCCCTCTCATGATCTCAGATATCCTCTTGACCCCCCCCCAGGTCCCCCCAAGACCAAGCAGCCCTTCCCCACCCTTGTCCTTGCCTCCAGCAGTGTGACTGTGATCATGAACCAGGGCGGGGGGCAGCAGGTGTAGCTGTCGTAGTACCACTTCCGGTCAATCTCCCGGGGCAGGGTCTCATAGGCCACGTGGCGGATCAGCCGCTGGGAGAGGTTCAGCCCCTTCTCCTCCAGCAGGGCCTTGCTGCAGAGCCGGCGGTTCCCCTGCAGGATGGCCTGGCGGAAGCTGTTGGACCGCTTGTTGCTCATCTACACCGGGAACAGGGAGGAGGAGGGGTCAGCACTGGGGTCTGGGGAGAGCCCCGACCCATTTCCCAGCCAGCCCATTCCTGAGATCAGCCAGGCCTCATCCCACCTTCCTCTTTCTTCTGTCATAGTTACAGGAAGCAGTATTCACAGAGCCCTTCAGTGTCAGGGGTTGTCCTAAGCACTTTGCAGCTTCACTCATTTGATGCAACTACTCCACCTGCTAGATACAGACCATGAACATCTCTGTTCTCTTGGTGAGGAGACCGAAGAACAGAGTTTCAGGAATCCATCAAGTCCAAACCCAGTAAGGCTCCAGGGCCTGTACTCATGTTCACCATACCCCTCCATCACCCATCATCATTTCCTGAGCAACTGCTACGTGTCAGGCACACTGCCAACGCAGGGGACCCAGTGGTGCTCAAGACAGATAAACAACCAGCAGTCATGGTTCCAAGTGAAGGTGCCACTGGAACACACAGGAGGGAGCCCAACCCTGGCCCACGGTGGTCAGGGAGGGCTTTCTGGAGGAGGTGGTATGAGTGAGAACTGAAGGATAAGTAGCAGTCAATATCCTCAGACACTAGCTTGGGAAGAGGCAGGCAGCCCTTGGTTAGATAAGCGAGTTTGCAGGGAGGTCCCCAGAGCCAGAACCTAAGGCTGTGCTTGTGGAAGGTCATCCCTCCTGAGTGCCTTCAAGGGAGTTGCGAGGCTCAGGGGGCCCAAGGACTAACCTCACCCCCAGCAGAGTCCTGGCTGCCTCGCCCAGTGGTCAGCCTAACTCCCGGAGACCAGAGGCAGCCCTGCTGACTTTCAGCCTCCCGAGGCCTCCGTTACCTTCCACCTGCCCTCCGTGACCACACTCTAGACCCTTCTAACGGGGAGATGTCCTAGAGATGTGGCTCTCCCAGCTCCAGAGCCCACTGTGCTGCTTGGATGGCTGTCTCATGATCTCTGGGTGTGGATTGCCAATGTATTCCTGAGACTGTGGGCTCAGCTGTGACATCAGGCTGCATTCACCTGAAGGCAGGAGTCCAGACCGGGCTGGGGAGGTGAGCCAGGCAGACCAAAGCACAGGGCTTTGAAGCCCTGACGGGGGAAGGGAGCTGGGGAGAAGCTGGGTTCAGACCAGGCCAAGTGGAATAAGCCTCCATCTGCAGCATCCCCTCCCTTTTCCTGGGTTCTGTAAGCACCTTCAAAATCCAGCCAAAGGCTCGCCTCTCCAGCAGGCCTTCCCGGATGACCCCTTCCAATGACTCCCTATTCTCACCCCCCACCCCCACCCCATGCCTGCAAAGCTTGCATCTGATTCTTAGTGGCTTGGTGGTTCTGGAAATGCAGGCAGGGCTTGGAGCTCCACGTTCACTGCAAGCCCGAGACAGGATCACGTCGTCAAATTAGTCTGTAGCCACTCTTTCCATCCGGTCCCCTAGTCCCCAGGTATGCACGTGCTCACAGGCCTGCACTGCACACACACTCACAAACACACACCCGGAAGACCCATGATGGGGAGGAGCTCAGCATGAGTACAGGAGAAGCAGTGCGTGCACATGCACACTCACCCTTCACCTGTGCCCTTGGTGTGCCCAGAACTGTGCTGGGCACAGTAGCATCCATGGTCTCTGGCCTCATGGAGCTTACAGGACAAACAGATGTATAAACAGCAGCAAAAGAGGACATCATCTTTGTTATTTGGTGCATAATATTATCCCCACGTTATAAAGATGGGGACAAGAGCTTGGAGAGGGAAAGTAATTTTCTCAAGGACCCATAGTTAGTAAATCAGAGTCAGGATTCAAACCCAGATGGCGCTTTTGTGCCAATGAGATAAGGAAGTCTATTCTTCCAGGTGGATACACCTTTTCCAGGCCTTGCTGAACAAAGCTCAGGCCACATTCCAGTTCTCATTCATCTCTGCCCAGTATCCTTCTTGTATAGTCCACAACCTGCACACCCGTACATGATAACCCTGGCCACTCAGCTGTAACAAAGTGGTCTCTGTTATGAGAGAGGCTTGCACAAAGCACTATGTGGTCTCTGGATAAGGTTGGTTTGTTCTGTCTGGGTTGGGATGGGGAGGGGCTCACAAACGATGCAGAGGAGTTAATCTGGTAAAAGAACATCAGAGACAACAAAAACTTTCAAATACTTCATCTTATTTAATCCTTGCCACAACCCTGAAGAGGGTATCCTTTGGCTTCATTTCACAAATGGAAAACACAGGCTCCTTCTCACTCAGTGGCAAAGGAGGAGCCTGGAGCAGGACAGGTTCCCCCAACTCCAGCCCGTGAGCTCTCCACCCGGCCCAGAGCTTCTCCCAGGAGATCCCCCTCTTAGTGCTGGTCTCCAGGGCAGCCCTGCCCACAGGAACCCAGGCCATGACTGCCCATTCCAGCTCAGAATTCAAACACTGTAATCTCGATGGTAACAAGTAATCTGCTGTTGTGAGTTCCCACAGAAGACTCCACGGACCCCCGGCTGGAGAAGCAGCTCACGCACAGAGCCCTGCAGCAGGGCACGCAGCGAACATGCTGGTGCTGGGGCTGTGGATGAGCCGATGCAGGCTCAAACCCGTGGCCTGGTCCAGCCACAGGGCTCACCTCCAGTGCCCACCCCTGAATCCTGCCAGTCCCCCTGCTTAACTGAGCTCTGTCCCCCACCTTCGAGGAGGTTTGCTCCCTGGATCCACTCAGAACAGCAGATTCCTTCACCACTAAAAGCTCTACAGCTGCTCCCTGCAATCATGCTAACCTCTGGGCAAAGGCAGATCCTTAGTCAAGAGGCAATGAAAATAACCCCAAACCCAGCACAATGGCAGGTCCTGGGTCCTCCATCACTGATACCTCCGAATTCTAGGCGCCTGGGGACTTCACATCAGTCACTTAATGGGTGACAAGAAGAGAGATGACAGTCTCCGTACCACCAATAGGGAAACTGAGTGGAGACTTCTGGCCTTGTGTTCATCCTGCTGGTTCACGAAGCTTCCACACATACCCCATCTGTCCCAGAGTGGGATGATTCCTGCTTAATCCCACTGATCCCCATTCCAATCCCGCTGCTGTAGCCCCCAGAACAGCATAGCAGGAACCCCCAGTGAGGAAGAAGTCCTATCTCCAAGACACCAGACTACTGTGCAGGATTCACGGGCCTCCTGCCTCCAGCCCCTCCACCAACCCAGGACATCTGCCAGCACGTCTGATGAGCTCCAGCCTTAACCCACAAGCCCCATCACTCCTGAAAGGTCTGGTCTTATCCTCCCAACATCCGCTCCCCAGCTCCTCTCCTGCCAACAATAACCTCCCACCTCCCACTCCCAGCCTTTCATTTAGGTGGAACGGACCCCACTGGCAGCTCCAGGGGTGGGCACTGATTGGTTTGAGCCAATCAGCACATCCCACTGACCTAATCGAGGCCAATGGGAGGTGGGAAATCCCAGGCCTCCTGCTGAGGGCTGGAACAGCTGCAGCCACTTTGCTGCTACAATGGGGGGTCTGGAATTGCCAGAAGCTTCTTTTTCTTGGTGATTACCTTTCAACTGCCGAAGCCTGGACTTTTTCAATGCTGCAGGCCAACGGATGCCTTTAATTATCCAAAAGAGCCCTCTAAGCCACACCCCAAACAGGCCCCTCCCAGAGGCGAGGGCCCCAGAGTGCTCACCAGGTTGACAAAATCCTGGTAGCAGATCTGCCCATTGGCCTGGCTGTCGGCGAGAGCCAGGAGCACCTCCCTCTTGTGCGGGTCCAGCTTGGAGCTGTGGCTCTCCAGGAGGCTCCGGAACTTGCCTGTGCTGATGTAGCCCGTGTTCCCAGGGTCAAACTGAGGGAGAAACACACACAGCAGTGGGGTCAGCAGGGCTCCGCCCCTCCCCCCGCACTGCCGCATGCGCATGCCCCGCCTCCATCACCACTTAGGGCTCCCATCCCCTCTGCCAACAGAGGCCCAGGCGGCATCTGGGATGTTTCCAAGGCGCCCATGAGAAACATCCAAATAGCGGGGACAACCACTTACAACCCTAGAAAGCCCCGGAGACCTTTGAGATTGCCCAGCCCAACTGTCTCCCGCGTAGGGAAGGAAACGCAGGCTCAGAGAGGTTAATCTCTGCCCTTACTGCCGACCCTGGGTAAGAGGAAAGCAGGAATGAAGAAGTGATGAGTGGAGGAAGATAAGGAAATCTGAGGCCTGGTCCGGAGGGGCCGAGTGGGGAAGGCACGAGACCCCGGGGAGCTGGGAGCACAGCCCGGGGCGGTCCTTCCACATCTGGCTGCGGGCTCCACCCACGCACACCCCACAGCCCTGCGCACACCGCCGCGCGGGGCGCCCCCCGAAGACGCGGGCTCGGGGTGTTTGGTCGGTTTTTGACTTTGCCCTTTTGCCCTGTGCAGCTCTGCACACGTGGGAGCCTCTGCCTAGGGCTCACTTCCCTGCCGCGCGTCTCCCTGGGAGACTCCGATCACGATCACACTTTCCAACTAACCAGGTGTCGGGCCTCCAGGAAGCCTTCCCTCACACGCGGTCTGCCCGCCCCGGACCTCGGACAGCCCTCCGGCCTCCGCCCTGCACTGTCCTCTGATTATTTTCAGCACCTCTCTGGACTGCCCGTTCCTTGAAGGCTGGCATCACAACTTGTCCCCAGGCCTTAGCACAGAGACCGGCGTAACTGTCACTTAGTTGAGATTTGTGGAGTGAGTAAGTGCAGGTTCAGGTGAAGAGGCAGGTACTCATTTTACAGAGAAAGGCTCAAGGGTTCAGCGAGAAAAGGGGCTTACTCATCTCTCCCAGAGCAACCCGCACCACTCTGCCCCTCTTCCATAGCCCCTCTTTCCTCACAGCACCCACCTGACTTCCCCTCCCCACCCCAGCACACACCCTGCTAGAAAAAGACGCAAGCGGTCTCCCAGCGATGCCAAGGCTGGTCCTCCTTGTAAAGTGCTTCCCCACGCACTCACCACACTTGGAGACGCTGCTGTGGGTTGCTTAGGTTTTTAAAGGCAAACAGACACTGCCAACGTCCAAGTGTGCATGACAAGGGAGCCCGGAAGGCCAAACCAACGTCTCCCCCTTTTCTGGATAAGGTCAGTGAAGACTATTTTAGGCTGATTCTGGGTGCAGCCTCTCAAAGACAAACCAGGAGAAACAGCCAAGAGTCACAAGTCCTGACCATTTCAATTCTCCCCAGAACTCGACCTGAGAAGCCATCTCTAAGGAGGCCTGTTGAGGAACCTGCATGTGTCCCCCACGCTCCAGCAAAAATGACAAACTTCAGGGATGACACCGATTTGGTTCACGCCATTGAGCATTTCAAGAAACTCACCTACCCCTGCTCCAGAAAGATTCTGAAGAGTAAAAACATCAAATATTTGCTGAGTGTTTTCATGGGGCCAAATACCATTCCAAGCACTTTTTACGTAAATGATTTCTTTGACCCCTGACAGCAACCTCATGAGTCGGTCCTATGATTGTGCCCATGCTACAGATGAGGAAGTGGAGGCCCAGGAAAATGGGCACAGAGAGGTTAAGTGACAAGCCTGCACAGCCTCCCAGCCCGCCGGCTGCTGCTGACCCCAGCGTCAGGGCCTGCTCTGCTGCTCAGAAGCAAAATGTCAGGATTGAAGACGTGCGTGCAGACCCAGAAGAGGAGGGGGCTCCGGGAGCCCCACAGGCCCACTCTAAACAGATTTTTAAAGCAGGAAAGAGCCTCAGACAGCAATGGTTCTGATCTCCTTCCTCAGGTAAGGAAATGACACCTGGAGAGGCAAAGTGGTCCCGGAAGCCAGGAAGTCTCCTTCTCTGGTGCCTGGGACCCCTCCCATCCCACAGGCTGGCACTGGCACTGGCCATGGGGACTCCCCAGCCTGGCCTCTTCTGGTCCCACGTGGCCTTTGTACTGGTGGGGCGCTGATGGGGGTGGAGGTAGAGAAGCAGCCTGGAGCCCTGGGAAAATCCACGCCTCCCCAGCCGTCCCCTGGTGAGCACCACAGGGGACAGTAGGCTTCACACAGCAGGGAGCCTCTCCTGCCCCAGCCTGGGGGAGGAAGCCAATGCGCTCCTAGGGGCCGTTGGAGGCTCAGGGGGGCAGCGGGGTGGAGGGGCCGGGATCAGGCAAGGGCCCCTCTCCCTCATTCCAGCTTCAGACAAAGAACCACCTGCTCCCCTGCTCTCCCGCCCCCTCCAGGGCTCCCTGCTGTCTTCCGAGTGACAGGGGCCCGCGCTGTGGCTCCTCCTCCCGCCCCCCACCAGGGCCTGCCAGTCCTGCCCCAAGCACATCTCAGGCTCCAGACTGCAGAGAAGGAGCTGGAATCAGGCCGAGCCTCCCTTCTCTGCCAAAACTCCACCTTTCATGCCAGGGCCAGACAGGCCAGACAATGGAGGGTCATCGCTACCCTAATAATGAGGCCTCAGGGATGAAGGAGGGTGACTGGGGGTAGTGGGAGGCAGAGAGGGGCCAGCTGTCTGGGCTCCACAGCGGTACACAGGACACCTTCCATCCCCCCCAACACCTGGAAAGTTGAGGGCAAGAGCAGAAGCTGGCCAGGGTGGGGTTGGGGGTGGAGGGAGGTGGACAGAGAGAAGGATGGGGAGACAAAAAGAAACACGGAGAGAGGATTCGTGCAGAAGGTGGAGAAAGGTGGGTCCCACTGCCCCAGAGGAAGCTGAGAGCTTCTATACGAGGCTGCAAGGAGCAAGGTAAACCCCATTCATGTCTCAGCCACTTACCACTGAGGACGCCCGGACTCTGTCCGGTTCCACTTGCCTCATTAAAGCCTGGAGGGAGCACTGATGTCATGGAGGCTTAGCAGACCCTCCGGGACACACCTTTGGGCCCCCTCAAGGGCAGCCATGGGGACAGGATCACACTAGCACCATGGTTTGTTTGGAACTTTGGGGGAAACAAACCTTACAAATGTAATTTCCTCGTTAATGATGTGCTGAAGGCCCTGAAGCTCCCCGTCTTGGGTGCTCCATGCCCTGAATTCACCCACTTTGGACAGGAGGATGCTCTCAGGATGAGGTCTAGGCTGGGTGGGCTGGAGACAGCCTGACTGGGGTTAATCTGGGGGTGGTAGGGCAGCAGGAGGAATGGGGCTGAAAGGGCCTCAGACAGGCAGGCAGGGGCCCCGCGGAGGGGAGCCAAGAGTCGGGAGCATCCTCGCAGCTGCCTCCTGAATAGCTGCCTCCCAGGGCTGTCAGGGGAGTGGGGGGGGGGCAAGTCCACATTCAGCCTCTGGAGCTGCTGGCGCAGAAGAGGAGGAAGGCACAAAGTTAGGAATGACCCTCCCACAGCTCCGCCCACCTGACTCGGCCTTGAAAAGAGCTGTGAGACTGAGGCTCTGGGCCGCTTAATCCCACCAGCACCCAGCCCTCTGGCCCCTTAATCCTCTAGGTCACCAGTTTCCTCCTGCCCGGGGCCCCACACAGGCTCTGCTGTATACCCCATCTCCCAGCCTGGGCCCCCTCCTGGCGCACTTTTGACCTTGGCTCAGAAAGGACCCACCAAATTCTGCATTATCGCCAGCCAGGGGGAGGATTTGGGGGAGAGTTCTGGAAAGATCCCCCCCACCCAGCTATTATGCCATCTTGGGCAGATCATTAACCACGTTGCCTCAGTTTCTTCATCAATCACATGGTAGGAACTCTCCCTTCTCGGGGAGACGGAAGGGGGTCCACCCCCAGCTCTGCACACACAAGCACCCCCCATATGCAAACGGGGTTTGGGGAAGAGAAATCCACAACCCAGACAGCCCACGGAGGGCAGTCGATCTTCAATTTTGCATCCTCGCTCAGTCAAAGGGCTGATGGGAAACTCGGGATCAGGATGAGGCAGCTCACTTACAGCGGTGAGGTCTGTGCTGTCAGAGGGAGCTGGTGACACCACAGAGAAGGGCAGCAGGTCAGGAAATGATAACTCATGGTCCAGGAGAGCTGAAAGGAACTCAGTGGTTTTTAAGCTGCTCTGCAGAGTCCTAGGTGGTGGGGGACATCCAGAGAGGTGGGGAGGGGGTCGCCAAGCAGCCCTCCTTGGTCCTCAGCCAGAGCAGCTGCTTTCTGAAGTGTTCTATGTACTAGCCTTCCGCATCCCACCCAGCTGAACAGCAACACAACAGTAGCTTTATATGTAGAACGCCTGCTAGGTGTCAGGTGCCACCTCACTGAAACCTCAGGTCCCCCTATGTCCTGATTTGTCTGAGACAGTCATGGTTTACACCTACTGTCTGAGCATGACTATTAACAGTGCCCCTTTCCCCCACCCCATACTGCCCCAATTTGGATAATAAATTACATGGTCCCCCATTTAAACCTCACAACAACCCTATGAGGTAGGTGCTGTTTACATGGGAGAAAAACGAGGCATCAAGAGCCGAGCTGCCCAAGTTTGAAGAGCTGGTAACTGGTGCAGATGGGTTTACATCCAGGTGCAGGGGCCTGCACTCTCCCATCATTAGGAGGCAAGAGTTTGAGAGACTCCCAGTTCAGTCCTCCCATCCGTTCACTTAACACGTATTTACTAAGGAGTGACTGTGTATGAGGCATCACGCTCATTTTACGGACGGGGAAACAGGTACAAAGGGCAAGTTAGTGGTCAAGATGGGAACAGTTCAGGGTTCCTCCACTGGGGTTGGCTGGTCCAGCCTTGCTCTTTCTTGTTTTTCTCTGTCCTGTTCAGTTATACAAAATAGAACTGGCCCAGGGTCTCTCAATGTGTGTTTTGTGGAACACCAGGCCCAAGATGGGGCATTGAAATAAAGAGTTCTGCAGTCCCACAAGTTTGGGGAACCCTTTTGGAAGGGTATGATGCATAAAACCACATGGCGAGGGGA